AGTTTGCTTCCGGGTCCAATTCAAGGTGTTGGTTATCACCTTTAAAGCCCTACATGGCATGGGGCCAGGTTACCTGAAGGACCGCCTCGCCCCCATGATTTCAACCCGTCCCCCCCAATCTCACAGAGAGGGCATGCTCCGGACCCCCTTGGCAAAAGAACTCCGACTAGCGGGGTCCAGAAGGCGGGCCTTCTCTGCTGTAGCCCCCGCCCTTTGGAACATCTTGCCCCCGGAGGTGAGACAGGCCTCCTCACTCCCGGCCTTTCGGAGGGATTTGAAGACCTGGCTCTGCCATCTGGCCTGGGCCGGGGAGGGAGGATGTCAGAAATGGGATAGGCTGGCCCCTTAGCGGTCTGGTGTGGCCCCTATCAGCCTCTTGGATTTCTTAGCCTTTTTATCTTTGTAATGTCTGGTTTTTATAACTTTTAATTATGTATTTCTGATTTTAGTTTGTTGTAAGCCGCCCAGAGTCCCCGTTGTGGGGAGATGGGCGGGGACAAGTTTATTAAATAAATAAACAAATAAACAAATAAACAAATAAACAAACAAACCATCTGTTCTCACAAGGTAACACTTCAGGGCCACACTGATTTACCTGCCACGACCTCTGCGATAATCACAAACCAGAAGAAAATAAATCATACTGAGAGAAGGTCTTGGTAAACGAAGAGGGTGGAATTCCAGCCATTCAGACAGAAATCATTGGGTCACTTTCTAAAAGTCCTAACAGCAACACGCTCCCCGCCCCGCAAGAAGCCTTGTCGTTGCCATCGACTGAGAGGCATTTGCCCTTTTTCTCAGTGGAAATCAGCCAAGAGCGAAAGAAAAGAGAAGGGGAGTAAGAAAGAAAGAAAGCCACAGATGGACTAGCCACCGCCCAGCGTGAAACAGTGGTAACTCATATTTATTACAATTATATACAGTCATATTTTATACTTGAGTTCTATACATGATCACACAGACGAGCACATTTCGTTTCCTCTCGGTGAGGACGAGGAGCAATAAGAGGCTCAAGATGTTACTGGTTTCGAGGCTCTTTTAATGAAGTGAATGGAAATCAACACTGCTGGAACACCCGAGAATACGACGCCACAAAACGAGGTTCCTAAAACCTGGTTTCTTTTCTCCACCCAGTAAGGCAAAAGTGGGGGGGGGGCAGGGAGGAGGGGAGAGCACACACCTCCGTGTGACGCAACAGCCAGGCCTCCGTCAACGAGGCTTCAGTTGGAAAAGACAATGGGGCCCCGAACCGGCTCCGTTTTGTGAAGGAGCCACGGAGGATCCGAAGCCCTGGCGGCCCCAGCACCGCCCCGCAGGGTTGGAAAGGGGAAATCATGTCAAGCCCAGGTTAGAATGGCTGTCCTGGAGGGCTTCAGGCCCCCCCTTGTTAAGGAAGGAGCAGGCGCTCTTGTATAGCGGAAGAGCAGGAAGAGAGAAAGGGGCGTAAGAAACAGAGCAAACGGCCGCTGGCGGGGAGGGAGGAGGGTGCTGTGAGGCCGGTATCCCCAAATCGGCTCTCAGGCACCAGCAGCTCGTCACCTTTTCCAGAAAGAGCCAAACTGGGGGAAAGCAGGCGACCGTTTGCTCCCCAGACTGAACCGCAATAAATAAGGAGGGTTAGCGATGAAGGCAGGGGACCCCAGAGATGAAGGACAGGGTGGGATGAGAGCTCCCCAACCGCCATGAGAAACGCTTGCGCTTCGAGGCAGTCGGACGGGCAGAAGCCACGCTGGGGAATGCGAATTTATCGTTGGGGAGGATGAGAGGACCGGCTGGGCCCGCAGACCGATGCCTGGCTGCGCACGGTTAGCGAGAGGAGACCTTCACTCGGCTGCGGGGCAAGCCGGGCGGTGGGAGCTGAGGGAAGAGGGGCTGCGGTGGGGAGGGGTGGGCCCCGACACCTGCTTGGCGGGTGAGATTACAATGCTACTCGGGGTGAACCACAGAAGTGAGGCGAAGGGACGATCTGAGCCTTGGTGAAGAGCGAGGTGGGCGGGGAGCCGGGAGCCCGCTGTGCTAGTCAATTTCGTTCTCATTGCTTGCTCCCTCGGGCCTCCGCAGCTTCTCCACCTGTTCGTTTATCTGCCCGTCGCCTCCTCGCCGGTCCTCCGTCTGGACGTCCTCTTCGTCTGCGTGGTTGTCATCTTCCTCCTCCTCCTCCTCCTCTTCCTCCTCCTCCTCCATATTGCCCTGCTCCTCCCGCTTCTCCTCTTCCCCTTGCACCTCCATCCGCACCTGCCCCTTCAGGTCGATCACCGCCTGCCCCTCCTCCTCGGGGCCCAAAAGGTGGCAGCCGACCTTGGGCCCTTCGGGGCTGTGGTTCTCCTTGACGGGCGAAGGGGAGTTGGATTCATTGCTGACCGGAGAGATGTCGCTGCTGGTGTTGTGGTTGTTGGTCACCGGGTTGGAGGGGGAAGAGGGCTTGACCGGGATCTGCCAGGACAGGATTTTGGGGGCTGATGGCGAGGGAGGAAACTGTCTCCTGGAGAAGAAAGAGGAGCAGGTCAGCACGTCCCCCGAGGCAGAAAGGACCAGCCCACCCACGTGCTGAAAAAAGCTACTGATGCAGCCTCCCCCCACCCCCGTTCCCTGCAGAAGCTGGTGGGGCTGGCAGCGGACACATCCTTCGACACTTGTGATGGGATTGTGTCTCTCCCCCCGCCTGGTGCAGCCGGGCCACTTCAAAGTTCTGCAACAGCGGAATGACGTGTGCGTTTGTGGACCGGGAGTTTGCGATGCTGCCCCTCGCCCGCTGCCCAAGATGGTCCTCTCACGCAGGCCTGGCGGCTGGGCCCGCCCTGCTCTGCCCAGCTAATGGACGTGCGGATGGGCCAGGAATAATCAGCATCGCGCACTGAAAGTAACACAATGTAAAAAAACAGTAACAACAAGAACACAACATTGGGAAGTTCTTGCTTTCTCTTTGGCCTGTGAGAGGCTCCCTGTGGCTGCTTTTCTCTGGGGGGCAAAGGAGAGCAAAGGCCAGCCAGAATTTGGCCCCCACACGAACGCCAGAGTCCGAAGTCGAAAATGAAAGGGCTTCCTGGGACACGCAGTTCAGCAGGCTGAGCACCAGATCGCTGCAGCCATAAGCCACCCCGGGAACTTGTTCCCCCCGCTCTTTTGGCAGCTGGAGATTTCAAGGGAAGGACGGTGAGCCTTCTATGGGCATTTAAAGGAAAGGTGCGATGACGCTGGAAACTGCCTCCCTGTTCAAAGCCTACTCGGCTGGCCGGGTCCATCTCGCCTGAGTCTCGCCGTCTCCAGATGGCTGGGCTGGCTGGAGGGGCAGGGCAGGGCAGGGCAGGGCAGGGAAGGGAAGGGAAGGGAAGGGAAGGGCCACTCGGCTGGAGGGCAGAATCGGCCATAACCCCTAGATGGGTAAAGCCCCGTCTGAGGGGGCAGCAGGCAGCTCCCTGTTCCTGGGGGTCTGGAAACAGACCTCCTGAGGGACGGATGGTCCCAACGATGCCAAAGAGAGTCCTTTATTTAGGGCAGAGATCTCTGAGCTACTTGTTAGGGTTATTCCCATTCTACCTGCAGGGAGGAGGTCTTGGCTGCCCCCCCCCCCCCCC